CCAGCTCGTCTATATAGACTCACTGGGCCTCCAGCTGGTCTGTAGATACTAACTGGGCGACCAGCTCGCCTAAAGAGACTTTGGGCCTCCAGCTTGCCACTGGCCGTCCAGCTCGTCTATATAGACTCATTGGCCTCTGGCCTAAAGAGTCTCACTGGGCGTCCAGCTTGCCAGTGGGCGTCCAGCTCGCCTATAGATACTCACTGCGCCGCCAACTTATCTATAGCGACTCACTTGGCCACCAGCTCCTCTATAGAGACTCACTGGGCGCCAGCTCGCCTATAGGGACTCACTGGCCCACCAGCTCGCATATAGGGATTCACTGGCTCGCCTATAGGGACTCACTGGCCCGCCAGCTCGCCCATAGGGACTTACTGGCCCGCCAGCTCGCCCATAGGGACTTACTGGCCCGCCAGCTCGCCCATAGGGACTTACTGGCCCGCCAGCTCGCCCATAGGGACTTACTGGCCCGCCAGCTCGCCCATAGGGACTTACTGGCCCGCCAGCTCGCCTATAGGGACTCACTGGCCCGCCAGCTCGCCTATAGAGACTCACTGGTCCGTCAGCTCGCATATAGAGACTCACTGGGCTGCCTCCATAGAGAATCACTAGGCCTCCATTCTCTAGAGACTTACTAGGCCTCCATCTACATATAGAGACACTCCGGGCCTAAATAGACTCCCTGGCCTCCAGCTCGTCTATAGAGACTCAGTGGGCCTCCTGCTCGCCTGTAAAGATTTACTGAACCTCCAGCTCATCTATAGAGGCACTCTGGGCCTAAATAGTCTAGCCTAAATAGTCATAGAGAAATTTTTCTAGCCTTGTAGTCCACTTATATAAACTTCTAGTCAATCAGCTCTTCTATATATTTTCTCCCAGCCCTTTTTTTACTGGCTTACAGTTCGTCTAGGTTCTGTCTGGTCTCTTCATTGCCTCTCTAGACATCCATCTCGTGCTAGTTGATTTTTTGGCTTTCAATTCGTATTTTTGGACTCCCAGGCTCTTCTGTATAGATCCCATGGCTTTCCCCATCTATATAGATGCCCTAGATGCACCACCTATAGGGTTTACAGTATGTGTGGATTTACTAAGTGCAAATAGGGTCTAATAAATTATGTTTTATTTTTTCCCAACAGCTTCTAATTGTGAAAATGCTTAATGGAGAAGAAAAATAAAACCAAAAAAAGACTAGGAGAACCCAACCAACTAACCAACCAAATGCTTGCTACACAAAATTGTTGTTTGCCGTAACGCCATTAATTTGTAATAGCCAAAAACAATGAACCAACAAAAATTTACCAACAAATTCATTAGTTCTCTTAGTTTTTTTCTTTTCATTTACTTCATTTTTTATTTACTTTTTACCGGCTTTATGTCTTTCAAAAGATTTCTCGATGGTGGCGTTTTTTTTAGAAGCTTTTTGTGTGTGCTTGCATTTGTTGTTTCTCTGTTTCGTTGTTGTTGGTGATTTATCTGTCACCTCGTTGTCTTAGGTCTGACTACGTCGAACAATGTGATGAAAGACGTCGAAAACAAGTTACTGACCTACATCAATTGATGTTTTGTTGTGCGCTATTGGCGCTTTAGTTTGGAACTTTTAATAATTTATGTTAAGTCATTTTAAGAAGTTGTGATATCAATTAAATATTAAACATATTTCAAACATGTCGTGCTTGGTATGACACCAAATAAAATAATGAAATTTTATTTAGGGAATATGAGAAATTCGATGGGGACAATTTAGATTTTTTTCAAATATTTCTAAAAACAAGCTTGAAAGCAGAAGTTGGTATACCAAAAAAAATTATATCCCCAGTCAGGGACGCATACAAAATATATTTCGAACCCTATTTTGGGCTGGGCTTAATTAGCAAAGAAGTTACATTTTCCATATAAAATATACAAAAAGTGAAAGATAAAAAGGCCGTTTGGGAGGGGGTCCGTGCTCCAGCCTATTACCACTTATAAATACGAACCCTTTGTGACATTTTTTTAAATTAAAAAATCGATTTCTTTAATTATTTTGAAAGACTTTTATAAAATGTATATCAATTTTTTAAGAATTTTGAAATTGTTATTTAATTTCGGTTAAAAAATGGAATGTGCAATATTTTGGAAACTTCTGAAAAATAATTCTCATTTTATGTGAATAATATTTTTTTCAAATTTATACCAGAAAAAAATGACCGATCCAATCCAATCCAATACAGATACAAATATTTGGTATAGACAAAATTACAAGAAAATCGAACATTTTTATCCAATTTTATGCGAAATAATAAATTCCGATAAATGCCATATTTATTTCAGATTTCTGGTTGAGAGAAATATTCAGATATAGCAATTTGTAAGAAATCGCTGACTTGTTTCGCAAGTTATAACAGATAAAGGCATTGGAAATTGTAACCCTTGGTAGGTTCGCAGGTATACATCATCTTCACAACAGATCTTGTGTTAGCAAAAATGTTTGTATGTCTGAAATTTGAAGAGAGTTTTCTGCTTATTTCGCTTTCTTACATCCTTTTGTTTTTCAGGATCTTAAACCTTATGTGGGGGAGATATCAGAAGAAATGGTCCGATCTCTACCATCTTTATAACAGATCTTGTTTTGATAGAAATATTGATATGTGCCAAGTCTGAATGGGATCGGATGTTAATTTCGCGTTTTATAAACTTCATAGATATTCAAAATCTTGACCCCTTGTGGGAGGACGTACCAGAAGGAGTGGAGTCATATATTCTATCCTCGCACCAGACCTTGGGTTAATAAAAATATTTCGATGTGTATAATTATAAGACAATCCGACTCTTAATATGTGATTATAAGAGTTCTAACTATTCAAAATGTTGACCCTTTGTGAGGGAGGTACTAGATGGAGTGGACCGATATTGTCCTGACCTAGAACTGACGCAAATATTAGGATTTGCAAAGTTTGAACAAAATTAGATAATTATTTCTTGTTCTACGAGGTAAATTATTTACGTTGAAAATGTTGGCCTTCTGTGGTGAACTTACCAGAAGAAGTGTTCCATTTTCATACCAGACCTAGAGTTGGTAGAATTATTGAGATGTGCCCAATTTGAAGAGCAATTGGACTATTATTTCACCTTTTAAAGGAGTTTTGGTTGTTGAAAATGTTGGCCTTTTGTGGGGAAGGTACCAAAAGGAGTGGACCGATTTATTCCATCTTCACACCAGACCTTGGGTTAATAAAAAAAATTTGTGATGTGTGTAATTTTAATACAATCGGATATTTGGATTTGGATTTGCTAAGTTTGCACAAAATTGGATCATCCTGTTTTTATTCTATGAGCCAAATTACCAGAAGGAGTGATCCGATCTATACCATCTTCATGCCAAACCTAGAGTTGATAGACCTTTTATAAATTCTGACCTCCCCCACGGCACCAGAAGGAGTGAACCGACATATTCCATCTTCACACTTGACATTGTGTAAATAAAAATATTGTGACAGATAGACAGACGGACGGACACCCTAAGATCGACTAAAAAGCCCTAAAATGGATTTGACCCAAAGAGGCCTGGGGCCTAAAACAGTTATTTCGATGAGGACGTTTTGGCCGTTTCAAATGTTATATACCCTCTGCCGCCACATGCCTGACGGTAAAAAGAGATTTCCATTCCAAACAAATTTGGTTGGAAGTCATCTACCCTAAGACACCTTTGGAATACCAAAAAGAAAACTATAATTGACCAAAATATTTCCATAAATTTATGTTGGATAAATAAATGAATCTGAATTGAAATTTGAAATTGATTTGCTTCATCAATTGAGAACCCATTTTGCACCAAAAAAAAAAATGGCAATACACGGCGTCTATATTTAAGACGTTCAAATCCAAATAATTGATGACATTTTCGAGCAAATCAAATTTCATCAATAATTTAGATTTGAAGGTCTTAAAGATAGACGCCGTGTATTTTGATGAATTTTAAAAATTTATTAATGACTGGGATCCTACAAAACAGACTTCTATTTCATATCAAAACTGGTAGATATCACACAGAAAAAATTATTCAATTGTCTTCTATTTAAAAAATGTCATATTAAAAATTCTCCTGACTTTTAAGATTCTTAAAATTTTGCTTATCCCCAAAATGCCATTAGCTAGGCTCTTTATTAGGGAAAAAAAATTCCACTTCATTTTTTTGCTTAAAATTTCCATAAATTATTTGAGATATAATTATTTGTTAAATCTTCTTTCTAATCATCGCCAATATAATTACACTTGGCAATTTTGGTAAAGCTTTGTGGCTTTTTAATGCTTGATAGCTAAATCAAAAGACTTAAGACACAAACTTGTCTTTGGTTTCCTAAAATCAACAACGCAAAACAAAAAAGGAACAACAACAGAAAAACAAAAGGCACTCATGCAGAAATAACAATATTTACACAGATTCACACACTCTTACACACACACATATATGCACTCTGCTAACGTGCAACATGTTGGCAAGACCACAATAATTTTGACAGATTTTTATCACAACAAAAAAATGGTGGTGGCACTGCAACTTCCAAATGCCAAAATCACAAAAAACACACTTTTGCACACACACACCCATTTCAAACGACACAAATCCGCTGGTTTTCCTTCTCGAACTATTTTTGGTTTTTCATTGTTAGGTTTCGTTTTGTCTTTAGGAAAAACTGGAAACTGGAAAAAATTGGTTTTGGAAAACTTTGGAACATTTATTGCCAAGAAACCTGATTTTTTTTTTTCAAAAACCCATAACTCCACTTGGCTGGCTGACTGGCTGCCTGACTTATGTAAAAATGTTAACATCATTTATTTTCGGGTTTCAAGTTCTTCATGCCAAAGCAGCAGAAGAAAAACGAAGAAAATTGTTTGGAAAAAATTGCATAAAACCATGCGTCACATTTCCTTTCCTTTGCATGTTGTTGTGTTGTCACGATTTTTTATTTCCATGGTATTTTGTTGTTGTCGTATGTGGTTGTTGTTATTTACACACTCACTTGAACTGAATTCCTTTTGTTGATTGTTGCTGTTGTCAACGCTGCTACCCACTGCCGCCGCCAAATCACTAGGAAATGCTAATAAACTATCAACATTTGCCAAAGAGGATGTTGTCGATGTTGCAAATTCCTGGCTGTTGGGCAATGAGGCAATGGCTGCCCGGGAACTTCCGACAAAGGCCATTGAGACCAATACCATAGCTTGCAAAATGGCCAAAGACATTTTGGGATTTTTTTTTGTTCTTCTTTTCCGATTTTTGTTATATTTCCAAACACTTATTCTAATTGTTTGTTTTGTGTAATTTTTGTATTTCAATATTTCGCAATTTTTTCAATCTTTTTTTTCAAAAATTTTTTTTTTTTTCAAATTATTTTGTTTCCGCGCCGGCTTTGTGCTTCACTTCACTTCTGTGGCAAATCTTGAAATGTTTCTTTACTTGGTTTTATTTATAGTTTTTATACTTTTTTTCGCAAAGCCCACCAGAAAAAAAAAACATTAAATTTTCAAAGTTGTAGTTGAATTTTTTTTGTTAAAACTTTGTTATCGCCTTTAGCCTGGATCTGGTTGAATGGGCCTTTTTCTTTAGAGTTATTAGGTTTTTAAAAGTTTTCAATTGTACCATGCACGTTTTTATTTAACATTTGCCATTTAAAGCTTGGCAAAAGCTTTTTTCTTTCAATATTGAAGAGAAGCTTTTTTACGCAGCTACAAAACTACAAATTTTTTTTGGTGATTTTTGAGATAACGTCCACAAGCGTACAATGTACGTTATACTTTGAATGATATTAAATAATTTCAAATTTGTTCTACACTCCACGTTGAACCTCTCCGGGCTACTCAAGGTGGAATTTGATCTGATATGGGCAGGGGTAATTAATGAAAAATAAAAAAATACCAACGAATTCAACATTAAATCTAATATCTTCTTTAGTCAGTCAATGTTCATAGGAAGAGCGTTAAGTGTTCCGAGGTTTTTTATTTATTCGGAATCCTCATTCTTAAGAAACAGAAAATCAAATTAAAAATTAGAAAAAAAAATAATTAAAAATTTGTCAATATTGAAAAAATTACAAGAATCGCTTCCGAATATTTTAAATTGATTTTATATAAAAAAATTAAAAAATAAGCGATAAATAATAAATAAATAAATAATAAAATAAAAACATATATAAAATAAATAAATTTTTTAATTAATAAATCAAAATTTAATTAATAAATCGAAATCTGAAAACTAGTATTTTGGTTTCTTCGTGGATAGGAAATTTTGCGACAGAAGGAAAACAAAAATCATTCTAAAAATTAGAAAAAAATAAATATAAATAAAAAATTGTCAATATTTCCTAAGGAGATGTAAAAAGACTATCCCCTGGCTGTAAAATACAGAATATTTTAAATTGATTTTATATAAAAAAATAAATAAAAAATAAGGAATAATAATAAATAAATAATAAAATAAAAACATATATAAAATAAATAATTTATTTAGTTAATAAATCAAAAATTAATTAGTAAATAGAAATCTGAAAATTAGTATTTTGGTTTCTTCGTGGATAGGAAATTTTGCGACAGAAGGAAAACAAAAATAATTCTAAAAATTAGAAAAAATAAATAAAATTAAAAAATTGTCAATGTTTCCTAAGAAGAACTAAAAAAGACTAACCCCTGGCTGTAAAATACAGAATTCGCTTCCGAAAATTTTCAGTTTTTATTATATATAAAAAAAAGAAATGAAGAGATAAAAATTAAAAAATAAATAAAATATGACATAATTAAATATAAAATAAATAATTTATTTAATTAATACATCGACTTGGCTACAAATTAGTTTTTTTTTTCCTTCGTGAAAAAAAAATTTTCCGGCAGAAAGAATTGTTCCCAAAGTTTTTTTTTTTCATTTAGAAAACGAAATCTAAATAAAAATTAGAAAAAAAAAAATAAAAATAATTAAAAATTTTTCAATATTTTTCTACGAAGAAACTAGCCCTTGGCTGTAAAATAAAAAAGAAATTGCATTAATCGCTTCCGAATATTTTCAATTGGTTATATATGAAAAAATAAAATAAAGGGATAAATAATAAATAAATAATAAAAGATAAACATACATAAAATAAATTATTTATTTAATTATTTAATCAATTTGTCTAGAAATTAGTCTTCCCATTTTTATTTCCATTTAGAAAAGGAAAATCTAAATAAAAATTAGAAAAAAAAAATAAAAATAATTAAAAATTTTTCAGTATTTCCTAAGACGAAATTCCTAATTTCCTAATAAAAAATAAATGGCTAAAAAATAAATAAAGAAGAAATTCCATTATTCGCTTCCAAATATTTTCAATAGGTTTTATAAAAAAATTAAAAAAATAAATATAATAAAGAGATAGAATAAAAAAATAAATGAAGATATAAAAAAATAATAAATTATAATTAAATATAAAATAAATAATTTATTTAATTAATTAATCGTTTTTTCAAAATATTAGTATTTTGGTTTCTTCGTGAGTAGACAATTTTCCGACAGAATACGTTTTATATATTCCATATTTATATATCTTTATAGCATCTTCTGTCGGAAAATTTTCTATCCACGATGAAACCAAAATACTAATTTTTTTAGATGAATTTATTAATTAATTAAATAAATTATTTATTTTATACTTGTTTATATTTTATATTTATCCAGGGCCATTATATATAAAAGGGTCGTACAATTACAAATTTATGTGGGAATTAGGAAGTGTTTTGCGCCCAAATGAAAACAAATCCAAACCAAATCGATTGGAAAATATGAACAGTTCCCCACAATAAGTAAAATCAGGGTGAATCTCTCTATAAGGACTGTATCAAAAAATGGATCCACATTGATCATTATTTCTAAATAGCATCTCCATAGAATAAGAATTTAAAATGCCAAAATTTTCGAAATTTAATGGAAATACGAGTATGGTCAAAACGTACAAAATACTTAAGACCGTATAAAACCCTATATGGCGGCTATACCAAAAAGTGAACCTCAGCGACATGGCTAGAGAAGGTTTATACCATTTGATACAGCTAAAACTGGCCTCGAAATAAAGGTTTTATACCCTAGGTCTCTTCGGACCAAATCCGTTTCACGAAATCTGGAGACGATCTAGCGATGTCCGTCCGTCCGTCCGTCTGTCCGATTAGGTCCAAACTTGGTACATCTTAATATTATTATAAAACTAAGATCGATTTCGGAGATGGGCAATATCGGTCCACTCCCACAAAAGGTCGAAATTTCTTTCATTTCTCTGATAAAATTTGAAGTATGAGTCCGATTGTATTCAAATTACACACATCCCTACATTTTTATTAACCCAGGGTCTCGTGTGAAGATGAAATATATCGGTTCAATCCTGTTGGTATCAATATTAATTATCTCTAAATTATTTAAATATTAAACAAATGCAGGGTGAGATAAAAACTGCAACAAAGTCAAAAGCTAAAATTTTTAGATTCTTTTCTTTTAAATTTTATTGAATGAAAGCGAAAATGTCGGAAATAGCATCAAATTTTAAAATATGTTTAGATTTGTTCGAATTGGTCACCTTTGGCACGAATTATGGTCTTCAAACGGCCAATGAAACCGTCACACGCCGCCCAAATGTTGCTCTACGGTATTTAGGCCCATTCCCGGCGATGCGCTTGCTTGAGGTGATCGACATCTTGGTATTTTTTAGTGCCATCTTTGTTTTCCAAAATACTCCAGACACAATAGTCCAACGGATTGGTATCCGGAAATTTTGATGGCCATTGTGCTCTGGAAATGAAACGAGGAACCTCATTTTGTAACCATTCTTGGATGGTGAGTGCGATGGTGCTGAGTTTTGTTGGAATATCCGAAGTCTGCGGCCAAAATGTTTGCGTGCCCAAGGCTTTAATTCACCCTCCAGAATATTTTCGCGATAATATTTCGCATTTATTCTGACCATCCATCGGCTGTTATGACGGCCCGCACCATGGTGTGGGTGCTTGAGTTCTGGTGGCTAACCGAAGTTGCACATTTTCAGCTGACCTCTTTGGCAAGTAAACACCACTATCATTTTGTTTGTTTACAAACTGCTGGACAGCGAATGTTTTCTCATCGGAGAAATCCAAATTCGGCAGTTCACCACTTTCGGCCAAGCGAAGCAACTCTTTAGCTCTTTAAAGTCGATTTTCTTTCTGTTGCGGTGTAGGTTCTTGCACTTTTTGGAATTTCAATGGCTTTACCCCGAGCTAATTTTTGAATATTTGCCGAATGGAATATTTCGATATGTTCAGCTCACGAGCCATTTTTCGGGCACTGCGACGCGGGTTTCGATCAAGTCGCTTCTTTACTTTTCGAACCATTTCTGCTGATGTTGCAGTTTTCTTCTGTCCATTTCCTTGACGTCGGGCTATGCTACCAGTAACGGCAGCACGGCAACGAGCGATGGTATGAGACACAAAAGATTTATTCACAGTTAAGTGCTGGAGTGCTCTAACGATAGCCACCTGTGGTTTTCCAGCCAAATATGAAGAAATCATACTATCACGCTTGAATTCCACCACGAATAACTTTTTTTTCTGGAAAATGCTCACCAAAATGCTTTTGTACGCTTGTAAACAATATAATGAGCTGTCACTGGAATAATTTTAACAGCTGTCGGACATATGGCTTAAAAATGACAGCAGTCTGAGGTTGGTTGCAGTTTTTTCACCTCACACTGTATATTTAGAAGTTGATTTAAATATTTTTGTAAAGCATTTTGCAAAAATTTTTTCAACAATACAATGTAGCTAAAATATCATCTCTCCGATCCACATTGAAATTCAAAATGTCATATGGAATTAAAATTTATTAACATGGGTATTCAAAAAATTATGATAAATTTTTCGTAAACAGAAAATATATGAAAAAACACATGCACACGGAATATCTCCTCCATAAAGTTAAATGTTACCCCAAACGGGATAAAAAACTGAAGCAGCGAACATTAAGGAGAATAGTTTATTTATTTTGTTTTTTTTTTTTTTTGCTGGCACACAGGTTGTCCCATTCGTTTCAAGGTTAAACGTGTTTGGAATACAAAACAGATAACCTGTCGTCTGACTTAACTGGGCAGCGGATGCATGATTCCAAGTAGACGGGATGCGGGAACATCGGAATACCATATATTAATACGTCAATAGTTTATTTAATTAGGTTCTGATTGATATTCTGCAACAAGGCTGAAATGGTGTAGGGTTGTTCTTAAAACTCTTTACAAAATTTGTGGGAGGGGGAAAGCTGTAAACGTTTGATAAAAATTGGCAGCTGGTAAAAGGGGAAAGTAAAAAATCGATACCAATTTTCGTTTTAACAAATTATTTATATTTACAATTTCCCTTTTATATTCCAACCTTGTTCACTCAATATTATCTGTTATACCATAAATTTTTCAAATTAGCCTCTATTTTTTTCAAAAATATAAATATTCAAATCCACTCCCCCATAGGCCATATCGACAAACCCTAATGGCGGAATAAAATTGGATGTCATAAATTTACTCTTAATGTAGACGATCTAATTTAATAGACCCATATGCATACAGACACCCAAAGAATGCCTAATTTCTAAACAAACCCCGCTAACTACATCGGAATTTAGAGCTACAAAGAAACAAAAACTGAGCGATTTTTTTTTTGGGCCATGGAAATAAATGTTAACGTTAAGGTCTTGACACCCATCACCATTTTTTTGATGAACTTTGCTATTGCAATTGCTGTTAATTTATGACTAATGGCCGGATCATCTACCTGATAGTGCGATGAAGCATTGCCAGATATCTCTTTACTTTATTTTCAGACGATGTTGTTGGTGTTGTTATTTATTTTCATTCTTTTTTATGACGTTTTGTGATTTGTTTGCCGTATCTCTGTTTATATTTTTTATTATTAAGGTAAAATGTAATTTTTAGTATTAACAGAAACAGCCGAAAACATTGAAATTGTTTACAGTTCAAGGTCTGGGAACTTCCCAAAAACAAAAAAAAATCTGGCATGAAACAAAAGACTTAAGAAACGAACATTAGCCTAAGCAAAAGCAAAAATATTGCAAAATCAAAGCATTTACAGGGTATTCTCTTAGGGAATATGGGGTATAGAAATGTTATCGTCTATTTACCGGTCATACGTCATTGACATTGGTTCAAGGGCAAACTAAGTAAGTCATTTACCTCTGTGTTTTTCATAAGTTTAAAATTTTGTTTTAAAAATGAATTTGTCGTTTTTTTATACCCTCCACCATACTATGTAGGGTATATTAAGTTTGTCATTCCGTTTGTAACTCCTCGAAATACTCATGTCAGACCCAACAAAGTATATATATATTCTTGATCGGGGTAAAATTCTAAGTCGATTTAGCGATGTCCGTCTGTCTGTCTGTTGTAATCACGCTATCTTTCGAACGAACTGAGATAAAAGGCTAAAATTTTGCACACATGTTTATTTTTCCAGTAGGCAGGTTAAGTTCGTAAATGGGCCTTATAGCCCCCATATAACGGTACCTCCCGATATTCGGTATTTTGATGATTTTAGCGACATTATTAACCGGAATTGTTTCAAATGTGATATTTGAAGTTCATAATGGATTCTACAGCATATGACAGAAAATTGTCTGCGCAGGTCTACGTCTTTGTATATCCCCCATGTAAGGGTACCTCCCAATATTCGGTATTTTGACGAGTTTAGGTACAATACCCACCGAAATTGTTTGAGATGTCGTATTTGAAGTTCGTAATGGATGCTACAGCCTGTGAAAGAAAATTGTCTATGCTGGACCAGGTCTTCGCACAACTTCGATATATTCGGTATTTTGATGATTTTAACTACATTATTCAGCGTTTGTTTCAAGTTTCGAATATTAATATGGTAATAGCTTATGACAAACAATGCCTCTGTAGGTCCACGTCGTATAGACCCTAATATAACGGCTATATTCGGTATTTTTAAATTTTTAACAGAATTTTTAGGGATTATATTTTTTGAAAATTTCCAAATTCCGGCCCAGCCTAACTTATTTCTTTTTTTTTTTTTTTTTTGAACATTGACGCTTTCTTATATTTTTGATATGCAGTGTAAATAGAGTTTTCTTTTCTTTGGTGACTTATAGTGAATTTTGATGAAGAATATTCTTAGCTTTGGCGTCATCCATCTAAATTGATGTTTTGTATAAGATTTTTGCATAAACTCGCATAAAGTACGACTACACAAAACTAAAATGTGTTTCTAATATTCCTGGAGTTTAGGTAAAACTTCGATTTTTTATATCTGCTAGTATCTATAATAGAATTTTATGATAATTTTGTAGATTATTCTGACTTGTTAAAAAAGAATCGTACTGTTTATAGAGAATTTTTCACCATTAAATGAAAAAAGGACCAAAAAGGGGCCCTGGTCAAAAGCGCTCTTATTTTTAACTGCAATATTGCTGAAGACACTGTATAGCTAAAATCAACAGATTTCAAAGAATATTACTCCGAAAATTTCCAAAGAGGTGGAAGAGGGGATGAATGAATTTTTCATTTGAAAAAATATAACATGTTCAATATTCCTTAAAAATACCAAGCTAAAGAAGTATCAAACGGGTTTGCCTACAGATGTATCTTCTCATCCAATGTTCGATTATTTAAATACTTTTTGACCTCTGTTCTGATTTTTCAAATTGCTGACCCTGTATAGAGTATTTTCCGAAAGAATGGATCAATATTGTCCATTTCGTATCGGACCTAAATAAATAGGATATAAATATTGCGACATGCCAGGTATGTACTATATCGACTACTTCCTTCACTTTATATGAGATATGTGATAATTTTTAGAAAATGTCGAAATGTGCATGAGGCACCAGACATAGTCGACCGAAGTATTCCATTTTCATACTTCATCTAATGCAAATTAAAATATTGGTATAGATAAAATTACAAGAAAATCAAACATTTATATCCAATTTTATGCGAAATCATAAATTCCATATTCATTTACGATTTCTGGTTGCGCAAAATATTTTAAGCAAGTCGTAAAGAATCGCTTACTTGTTTCCCAAGTTATGACAGATAGAACTGTTGAAAATTGTGACCCTTTGTGGGTGAGTTACCAGAAGGGGTTCGCAGTTATATTTCATCTTTACAACAGAGCTTGTGTAAGCAAAAATAATGGGATGAGTGACATTTGAAGAGAGTTGGATGCTTATTCCGCTATCTTTGAGTGTTTTTTTTTTTTTCAGAATCTTGAACGCTATATGGGGAGTTACTAGAATAAATTGTCCGATCTCTACCATATTTACAACAAATCTTGTCGTGATGAAAATATTGAGATGTACCAGATCTGAATGGAATCGGATGTCAATTTCGCGTTTTATGCGCTTCATGAATATTCAAAACATTGACCTTTTGTGGGGGAGGTACCAGAAGGAATGGACCCATATATTCCATGTTCACACCAGACCTTGGGTTATAAAAATACTTTGATGTGTTAAATATGAAAAGCACCGGATGCTTATTCCGGTTTTTATAATCGTTTTGGTTATTCAAAACTTCGACCCTTTATGGGGAAGGTGCCAGAAGGAATGGTCCGATCTCTATTATCTTTATAACAGATCTGTTGATGGAAATATTGATAGGTGCCAAATCTGAATTGGATGTTAATTTTGTGAATTTCATGAATATTCAAAATTTTGACCCTTTGTGCGGGTGATACCAGAAGGAGTGGATCATCAACTTTAAACCAGACCTTGGGTTAATGAAAATATTGTGATGCGAGTAATTTGACGACAATCGGACTCTTATATCATCTAACAGTTATAAATATTAAAATGTTGACCCCTTATGGTGGAGGTACTTGATGAATTCAACCGATATTGTTCATTTTCGCATCTAACCTAGCACTGATGCAAATATTAGGAATTGCAAAGTTGGAGCAAAATCGGTATATACTTTATCGTTTTGTGTAATAAAATATATTTTTTGAAAATTTCGATGAATATTCAAAATTTTGAGCCTTTTTGGGAGAGGTACCGGGAAGAGTGGACCGATATATTCCATCTTCACATCAGACATTGGGTTACTAAAAATATTGTGATGTGTGTAATTAGAAGACAATCGGACGCTTATATCACTTTTTATAAAAGTTCTAATTATTCAAAATTTTGACCCTTTGTGGGGGAGGTACTTGATAGAGTGGATCGATATTGTTCACTTTCGCACCTGACCTAGCACTGATGCAAATATTAGGATTTGCAAAGTTGGAGCAAAATCGAATTACCCTTTCTCTTTCTGTGCAGAAACTATATTTTTTAAAAATTTCGACCTTTTGTGGGGGAGGCACGCGAAGAAGTGGACCGATATATTCCATCTTAACAACAAACCTGTGGGTTAATATAAATATTGGGATGTGTGAAGACAAGCGGACTCTTACATCACATTTTATGAGAGTTGTAATTATTCAAAATTTTGACGATTTGTGGGGGAGGTACTGTCCATTTTTGCACTTGACGTAGCATCGGATTACCCTTTTTTGTGCAGTAAATGATTTCCTTTGAAAATATTGACTTTTTATGGGGGAGTTCCGAGAAGTAGTGGACCGATAATGCCCAACTCCAAACTCGATATAAATTTGATAATAGTATTAAGATGTACCAAGTTTGAATCAAATCGGATGCCCCCTTCGAGAGTTATTGTCGGACGGACGGACGACTAGATCGATTCCAAATGTCCTTAGACGGATTTGGTGCAAAGAGGTCTATTAGTGTTATTTCGATGAGGCACGTTTTGGCCGTATCAGATGATATATGCCCTCTATGGCCATATGGCTGAGGGTATAAATATTTGTCGGAAACACATTTATTTGTACGCTCTAGTACCTTTTAGTATAAATATAAAAAAACTGCCCTATTCCCAAATTCAAAATTCCAGCACTGGCCGGTTTTTCTAGGTATCGAAGAGGCAATCAAAAACTCAATTTTTTTTTTTTGTAAAAATGAAAATAATTTTATTACATGATTTTTATAAATGAAAAATAGGATATTTACAAAGTTGATACTTTTTAGAGAACTTTTACTGCCTTCAACCTTAGGCCAGTTGTAAGAAATCAAAGGGAACCATCGCCAGGGCTCTATTCAAGCCATTCATAATGATAGGTGACCAATTGTCCTTAGTTTCGGGCAGGACAATGTTAAAGATGTCACGCCAATATTGATTGGCCACATTGAGGATGATGTCATCTGAAAGAAGAAAAAAAATAATTTTTCTTAAACATTCGTAAAATAAAAAAATATCCTCTTACTCAATCTAGCATCGGCTATCAACCCTGTAGCATTCACTCTGGCATCTCGCACTGCAGCTGTAACATTCATTCCTGTAACTCTCAGGAAACGATGTTGATCCTCCTCCAGGATTTGCCCGTAGGCCAATTGTTCCACCGCAATACCCAATAGGGTAATATTCATATTGCCACGTGGGCGGACATCCACAGAATTCAATTTCAAATCCGCCTTATAACTACCCTTGGCAAATAGGGCTGGTATGAGGGCCGAGAGACGTAGCTTGAAATTGTTACCCGAAGTCCTTTTAAAGATCACCTTGCGATATTTCATTGATGCCAGACCATAGACATAGGCATAGCCCACAGTGATACGGCCATTCAAAGGCCCGCCATTGTATTCAAAGGAATTACGGCTCACAAAGAAAGGATCCACGGAGTGAGGCAAATGCGATTCATTTTGGGAATTTCGCAATTTCGGCGTAACAATGCTCAAGACCTGTCGCAAACATTCGCCGAAATATTTTTCACAATTCACAACATCATCAACTATAAACAAATGGAAAGAAAAAATTTAAAACAAACAAACTAATTATTTTAAATATTCTAATTGTTTTGAAAACAAAAAAGCATTTCAGAAAAAAAAGATAACATCTTTGAAAATATTTAAAGTAGTTTTGTGGGGGAGGGAAGTAATTTACTGCCCCCAATCATCATCATCACCATCATCTGATGGGAATTTCATTTTGGCCATAGAGCAGAACGCCCCACCTCCCCCAATGACTTTGACATTTTTGTCATTTCGAGCAGCGAAGGTCGTCACGTACTTGCCAAGCCAAGCTCTAAACGCTTACAAGAACAAGTTGTTTTTTGGAAGAAAATATTCCGCTTCAGTTCTTCCAGAAGTCAAATTAGTTTGTTATGCGACAATTCAGTTTTATTTGAAAGATACACAGAAAATAACATAATTACGATTGAGAACAACAAAATTATACATTTTTGTGTGTGTGTGTGTGTTTTGATGATCAAATAATTTCGACAATCATTCAATTGCTTTTTAAGTGGCGTCGCATAAATCTTGATGTGCAAACGGTTGACAAACAAAGTTGCAAAACATTTTAATTAATTCTCGTAAATTCTTAAAAACCAAAAAAGTAATAAAAAATAAAACGAAAAACAAACATTTCCAAAAAAATATACTCTCTCTCTCTCTTTCTCGCGCCTCAAAAACAAAAGACTTAAGACAGCAACCTGCCTTAATGATATTTTCCCCCTTGGGTAACTAACTGTAAGCGATATAAACCTCAAAATTCTTTCCCTCCATCTATGGTTCTCAATGACCATCATAAACCCCAATTGAACGAAAAATACGGCAAAACAAATAACTCATTTAATTAAAATATTTTTTCGTTATTATGTTTTATTAATGTTATTAGATTTTAATTGCCGCTGAGAATTTCATGATCACATCTACGGTGACATTTAGTGGTGGAATTTTATATTTGTTATTCCAAATTTCATTGGCAGTGCCATAACTACGCTAGAGGTTTATAGAAAAAAAAGTGTGAAAGATGAGGCTATCATATTGCGTTTTTGAAGCTAATAGAAGCCGATAGCTCAATTATTGTAATAATTGAATCTAGACAGTTCTCAGTGGAAAGTTTTAAAAGACAGGTGATTTGGAAGATGTTCTATTGATGGAAAATTTCTACAAAATTATTCTCTTTTTTTCAAAGGACATCCCTGGACGGACTGATGATCTTTCAATGAATTTGACTTCATACAAAATCATTCGAATTTTCTCCAGGAACTTAAAATCTTAAAAAGTTGACATAATCCCATTTCAAATGTCGTCTATAGCCAGAAAACCTAGATACTCCCTGTGGAAAGTAGATCTATATCTGAATGAAATCTATTTTTGGACATTTGGAGTCAATTTCTAGCTGGAGTACGAGGATAGGCAAATCGGTCCATTACTTTCAGTGACTGCCTTTAAAAAGATAAAAACATTTCGAAAGAAAAAATAATTTACAGTGATATTTTACATTTGACATATTGATCTAAATTTCGAATTTCATAAAATATTTTATCAAATCTATTTTTTTAATGAAAAAATAAGTCAATTGCTTTTGCCGCTCATACTCTCCCACAAAATACAGACTTTTCAATAAATTTGTAGATTTCTTTGAGACTTTGTGCATTTTTTAAATTATTTGTAAAACTTCTTCCCAAAAAAGGCCCATTTTTCAAAATACTTTTCATATATAAATTTATATACAATTTTTTAAAAATATTTTTTCCGGACAAAACTCATAATATTTTTAAGAATTTTGGAAGGACCTACTAAACCAATATCGTAAATTGTTAAGATTTTGGTCAAATTTTTCTAGGAAAAATTCATAAAGTTTTCAAAAATATTTAAGAGTTTCCTGATTTTTTAATATTTATGGACATTTTGCCAAAGAAAAGGCTTCCGGGGAAAAATTATGATTGTTTTTTGTAAATATTTTCAAGAACAATCTAGCCCAGAATTAAGGATTTTTAAAGAACGTTTTTCAAAGGAATATGGTTTTTATTCAAATTTCCAAGGATCTTCCGAACAAAAGATATGAGATTTGTAAAAAATGATTTGGCTATGGCTAAGAATCGTGGATAAAATATATTATTAATGACAAGAATTTACATTAATTTAAATATTCTTCAGGACCTCCGACTAAAAATCGTGTTTTTTATATTTTTTCAAGGAATTCTGGATTTTTAAAATATTTTTAATCAATTACATGAATTTTTTAATATTGGTCAAGATTTTTCTACCAAAAAATGATTTTAAACATTTTCAGGGACTCTGAGAGCGAGTATCCATAACTTTGCTGGAAATATTTTCAGTCACTTTTTGGCCAAGAAACATGACTTTACCAAATATTTTCCATGGACTTTGTCGACTAAACGTCACTGTCTTCGTCGGCTAAGGAATTTCTTCTGAAATTGTTTGAGAAACTTCTAGCCAAAAATCGTGATTATTTTTTAATTTTTTCAAAGACTTCCAGACCAATATTAATTTTTGAAACTTTTTTTCAAGGACCTCCAGGCCAAGAAAGGCGGTTTTTAAATAAAATTTCAAGTTATTTTCGAATTTTCAAAATATTTTGAAAGAAGTTCCTATTCGAGAGTTGGCCAAGAACCGTGTTTTTTTAGTATTTATTCAGTTTTAAAAGATTTTTTTAAAATAATTTTCCGAGAACTTCCAACATGGATTTTCTTAAAAATATACTTTACTATGATTACATAGCCTGGAAATCGAGATTTTTTTTTTTTAAATTTTCAAAGGTTGACAGACTAAGAGGTTTAAGAAATATTTGAATGGCTTTCTTGTCAAGAATTGCGGATTTTTTAAATTTGCTGCAAAATGGTCAGCCTTTTTATAACAACAACGTTTGATTATTAGTGGAGAACGATGGTAATGTTTACCAGGGAGTAAGACAGGGAATACCTAGGTTTCGGAAAGAGCCACCAATCCTCATCAGTTCCCTTGTTTTTTGTCTGGGATATTCTCCCCAGAAGTTATTTTAAAAATAACTTCTAAGAAAAAAAACCTTTTTACCCAAGTTATGAGATCGTAACCTCAAAAGAAGTGGAACCAAAGAATTACATAATACTAAAATTCTTTTGGAAAATCTTCTAAATCTTACAACCGCACTTATAAACATTTTCATCTTTTTCCACATGTTATAGAATCGTAAAGTGTTTTCGTCAAAGGCTTTATATAAATTTTAGATTATTTAAAAAATATTTTGAGATGTCGTCCTGGACAAAAATAGAGGACTTTTGTAATATGTCCTGGTCAAAATTTTTAGTTTTTTCCAATTTTTTCAATAAAATTTGACATTTTTCTAGGACTTTTTGGTCAAGCTCTTCCTGGCAAAAAAAAGTGTAGATATTTGGCTACATATCGTTTGGGGCGGCCAAAAAGTGCCTCATCGAAATAACGGATTTAAACCCTAGGTCCTTTGAACCAAATCCGTTTCAGGACAGTTTGAGTCGATCTAGAGGTATCCGTCCGTCGACAGTCTGCCTGGTGCATACGATAACTCTCGAATCGAGTGTATACCAAACTTGGTATATCGGAATATTTTTACTAAACTTAGATCGAGATCGGTTACTCCCCCACAAAGGGTGAACATCTTGAAAATTATAACACTCATGAAATGCGAAATTCTCTTCAAATCCGATTCTTTTCAAATTGTAATCAACAAATCACATTAAAATATTTCTACTAGCACGAGATTTGGTTTGAGGAGTGTAGATATTGCTCAATGGTAAATATTGGTCAACATTTTGAATAACCATGAAGCTCCTAAAATGCGAAATAATCAATGTTGTCACATCCCAAGATTTTTAATAACACAAGATCAGGCGTGAGATGGAATATTTTGGACCACACCTTCTGGTACCTCTCCCACAACGGGTCAACATTTTCAGTAAGTATATGTCTCATAAATTGGGAAATAAGCATCAGATTCTCTTTAAATGTTATGAATCCCAATACTTTTACTACCTCAAGATCAGGTGTGAAGATGTTAGATGTCAACCTTTCTGGTACCTCCCTCGCAAAAGAACAACATTTTGAATAGCCATATCTCTCATAAAATCTGAAATAAGAAGCCGATTGTCTTCACATTTCGCACATCTCAAGTTTTGAATAGTCATAGATAAAGTGGAATACATTTCGATATATTTCAAGTCAAAATCTATTTCGATAAAAGCACATGTGCTGCCGTCAAACTGATTGATAATTCTTAAACATTTATAAATTACATTTGCGCAGGCAGGAATAATTTTAATATTTTTCAAGAATTTCCCGGTCATCAATTTAGCAAATTCTTAAATATGTTTAAGGACTTCCAAAGTCAAGGCATTTTTTATATATTTTCCGAAACTTCCTATCCAGAATCGTGAATTTTACTAAAAATATTCTTCTGGAAGCACGAGGATATAATTCCAGATATTTTAGGTTTTCCGAAAAAAGTGGACAAAAATATTAGTTTTTAAAGGTAAGCATTTTAAAGACCCCCTTTCTTTAAAGATGTCCCGCAAACCTGTGACATTTTTAAAAGATTTTCTGGCAAAAAAATATTTTTTTTTCAAATTTGCAAATTTTGGCATTTTCTCGAATTTTTAAGAAGAAAATTTCAATTGCTTTCTCACAAAATATTTTGTTCTTTACATTTCCATTTTTCTAGGAATTCCTTCTAAAAATTATGATTTTAAGGCTATTTTTTCAACAACTTGCTGCTGCAGAATCGAGATTTTTCCAATTCAAGGACTTGATAACCAAAAATCGTGAACTCTCAAAAATCGTGACAACAGAACTTAGATTTTTTGTTTTCATGCTGTCCACAATTCGTGGATTTTATTAAACATTTTTTTATATGAATTATTGCCAACGATTTTTGTTTTTTTTTTTTTTTCAACATTTTTACCTGCCTTTTGTTATTTGTAAATATTTCAAACCATACCTTTCACATTCCTGGCATATAAATACTATGAAGGACAATTAGACAGATTTTTTAATTATTCGACTAAAATACTTTGATTCCTTTACCGCCGAAATTGTTATGTTCATGTTTCTTTAATTTCAAGATTTTTTTTTAATAATTTATGCGAAATATTTTTTTTAAATAACTTTAATTTTCACAAACTGGTAGAAACTGAATTTATTGATTATTTACAAAATTGTGTTTCAATTGTTTTTGAAATGCTTTTCAAAACAAATACTTGTCTCGTAACTTACCTTTAAAGTATTTCGAAACCCCACCAGTGCTGCTGTAAATACTCTGAGGAGAAATGGGTGTTTGAAAATTTGCCAAGTTGGAATTGGAATCCTCAGCGGTGGTTGTTGTCGAATTAGGGTCTGGATAAATAAGCTCCCATGGAGAGGGGGTGGTGCTCCCACTTTCCAAAATATTTAAACTATTTGCTGTTGAAGATATTTCATTTAGGATACTGGGTACAGGATCATTATTTATTCCAGTTGTGGAGCTGATTATCGGTTCCTCTGCATTTTTTGTATAAGACTCCAATAACACGGGTGTGGAAGAATCAATGGAAATGGGTGATGATGTCTCAGTGATGGCTGGTTGTGGTAATCCTGCCGTTGAGATTTCTTGGGTCCAGTTTAGACTTAAATGCAATATGAGCAGAGCAACAAAACTTTTCAAGGATAACATTTTTCTAACAAAACAAGTTATTTTCTTTGAAATTCCAATATCGCTTTGAATTTTAGATGACCGTTTCGAAATGTTTCGCCGACCGTTTATATCAACGTTCTTTTCAAAACTGAGGCCACATTCGTTTTGTAATTCTTGTGCTAAATTTTTGTAATGGCTTTGCAAACTTGTTTTTCTAACATTTCAGTTCTGTTCTTGCCCCATTACACAATAATAAACAATTCTGCATTTGTATTGCAAATTTGCAACAATTAGAATTGTTGCAGGGTCAATGTTGAATTTTAATTCTAAGCATGCCGAATGTTTGGCCGTCCACACACCTGACTTGCAAAGTAGTTTTAATTCAATTCAGTTTTTTTTTTATTTTTTTGAGTTTCAAAATTCTTGTGAATTATTTTTGACACGCTTAGATAGTTGTTTTCAGTTTTTCTGGTGTTGTGTTCGCTACTTGTGTTCTGAAAAATGTTCCTCTGAATTAGAGTTCAATGTCTAATAACTCGATTTGAGCTCATTTTTGGACTCCAGCCAATGACCAATGTCAACCGACTGGTTGCTGAAGTGAAGAAAAATAAATAATTGTTTTGCCCGGTTGACTGTTGACAAATTTAACAATGCTTCCACGGCGATAAGAGAACTTTGACCAAAAGAAAAAAAACAAAGAAGTCACATCTTTACAGAATCATTACAGCGTCTGGTAATGACTCTGTAAAGCTTAAATTAGATTTGATTGTTATTTGGAAGAAATATAGAAGTCGAGACTTAAAACTAGTAGTGATACGTGTCACAACGTAATATTGGTATACACGCACCGCCCAAAAAAGTTTCATATTAAAAAGTACCAGAAGGAGTGAACTGATATATCCCATCTTCATCTTGTGTTCATTAAAATAATGAGATATGTGAAATATGAAGAGAATCGGATGTTTATTTCGGATTTTATAATCATTTTGGTTATTCAGAACTTTAACCCTTTATGGGGGGAGGTACCAGAAAAATGGTCCGATCCTCCATCTTTATAACAGATCTTTTGTTGATGGAAATATTAGGATGTGTCAAGTTTAAATGGAATCGGATGTTAATTTCGCGTTTTGCATGAATATTCAAAATTTTGAACCTTTTGTGGGAGAGGTACCAGAAGGAGTGGACCGATATATTCCATCTTCATAACAGATCTTGTGTTGATAGAAATATCGAGATGTGGCAAGTCCGAATGGGATCGAATTATAATTTTTCGTTTTATGAGCTTCATGGATATTCAAAATTTCTACCCTTTGTGGGGGAGGTACCAGAAGGAGATGGCCGTATTAAATGATATATACTCTCTCCACCCATATGACTGAGGGTGACTTAACATCTTCTAGGACTTGCCACATAAACGGCCAAAATTTTGAAAAATACCATAAAAATGTAATAAATCCCTTCACCTTATTGATATAAAACCTGGACGAAATTTTGAAAAATCATGAATCTCATATGAGGAATTTGTGTTGATGATCTAAAACCTGGAATATGATAAGATATAGGCCCATTTCATCTGCTGCCTCTCCCCATGAAATGAAAATTTTAAAATGATGCTATGGATCACATATAGAGCGAATGAGGCCTCAAACTATTACAATATTTGCACATTTTCTGACCAGAAAATCGAAATTTTTTTTTAAGAAAATGTCATGGGAATCTCATCATCAACAAATGTTAGATTTTTTTATTGCAATTTCTTATGTTCTCCTGTCTAAAAAAGTAGATATTTAAAGGATCACCTTTTTGCATTTCTTCAAAGAATATATTTAAAGGATTTCCAGGAATAAATGTGAAATGTGTATTAAAAGAATACTTCAAGGACCAACAATTTAGATTTTTAAGGACTTCATGCCTAAATTTTCTGGTTTTTGTAAAAACATTTTTTTTAAATAATTCATCTTTGAATATTGTAAATTTGGAACTTTGTTTAGGGAATTTATGACAAAATTGCGATGAGTTTTCGTTAATACCTTGTCATGGACTTTAGATAAAAATGTGATTATTAGCTAAACGTCGGTTGTCGGCAGATGTTCTCAGCCTAAGGCAATACAAATTGTTTACATTAACAATTTTTTTTTTAACAAAATCCGAACGCCATTAAAATTTCCTAAAACAAGTTAAAAAGTATCAGTCGGTTGTGCCGACAGATTTATGCCATCAGCCAATGTCCGATTATTCCAATACAATTTTGACTTCTGTTATAATTCCGAAGGATTGGGCCAATACTGCCCATTTCGCTTCGGACCTAAATACATATAATATGAATATCGCGACGTGACAGGTTTGGACTATATTCGATACTTCCTTCACTTTATTTGAGATTTGTTATTTTGTAATTTTTAGAAAATATGCTTCATCTAATACAGATAAAAATATTGGTATGACCAACATTATAAGAAAATCGAACATTTATATCCAAATTATGGGAAATCATAAATTCCATATTCATCTCAGGTTTCTGGTTGAGATACATATATTTATAGTTGTAAAGAACCGCTGAGTCGTTTCGAAATTTATGACAGATAAAAGTATTGACAATTTTGTCCCTTTGCGGGTCAAGTACCAGAAGGGGTTCACAGATATATATCATCTTCACAACAGATCTTATGTTAGCAAAAAAGTTTGTATGTGTGAAATTTGAAGAGAGTTGGATGCTAATTTCGCTTTCTTTGAGCTTGTGGTTTTTCTAAATCTTATGTGCTTCAAGGATATTGAAAATGTTGAACCTTATTTCCCATCTTTCGCACGAATACAAATTGTCCTTTCTTTTCTGTGCAGTAAATGTTTTGTTTTTTTTTTTTAATTCAATCTTTTGTGATGGGGTACAAGAAGGAGTGGACCTCCGAACTCGGTCTATGTTTGACAATAATATTACGTGTACCAAGTTTGGCCCAAATCGGATACTCGCTTCGAGAGTCATCGTGCGCAGCCAACCAGACAGACGGATATCGCTAGATCGACTCCAAATGTCCTGAAACGGATTTGGACCAAAGAGACCTAGGGTCTAAAACCGTTATTTCGATGACGCACGTTTTGGCCGTATCAAATGATGTATACACTCTCTAGCCATATGGCTGAGGGTATAAAAAATATTATATTGGGTCCATAGATCTACACAGATAGTCCCTTCACTACATATGGAATTCAGAAGCGGAACGGGAGCCAAAATTAGATAGATTCAAAATGTTCTGAATCAGATTTTGAGTCATAAGGTCTAAATACGCTATTTCGACGAGGCTGAGATAAAGATCTTTGAAACATTCAAAATATATATACGCCAAAACGGTTTTAAGTTTCCGTTGCCCAAGTGATGTTATCAAACTGAAAAAGTCTTCTATATGGTACGAGCCAATAAAGTTGAAATAATAGATAAATTCCAAAAATTCGGTCTAGGGTATAGTGTCATATGGGGCCTATCTAAGACAGGCTGGGTTCTCCCAAGAGGCTTCAAAGCACAAAAATGCATCAATACCACTTTATGGAGGCTTGTATTGAATCGTGGAACGATGTTGAACAATATTTGTGGGAATATTTCACATCCAACCAAAACCCTAAATGCAACATTACAGCCGGCTCAGTGTAAAATTGTGGATGAAACTTTAAAATACCAACAATCAGGAGGTACCGCTATGTGGGTATATTGCAATTAGCATTTAATTAAACTCAGCGAACTGCGTACCCGTAAATAGGGGCTACGGTATACCTATAATGACGATTGATTTTTTTTATGTATAATTTTAGCTTTTAAGAACCAAAAACCACACAGGTCCAATTACAGATTTTTTTATAGTATCCCTCAAGCCTTCAACGACCAGTAAGACCTCCACATGGATTTTTTTAAAATAAATTTTTAGTTTTCAACGTGTCTAAATTTTAAACAAATTTTTTAAAGACCCGAAGTTGAATTTTTAAGGAATTTTTATAGGTTTCCTGAAACTTCAAAACGTAGATTTTTAAAGATTTTTTATGGGTTCCTTAAAAATAAATAACTTTTTAATTTAAAGATTTTTTTCCAAAACGTGATTGTTTAAAAATTTTCTTAGACCCACTCGAGCCTCAAAAACGTGGAGCTCTTTTCGAAGCACCCTTGAAGCCTTAAAACGTGAATTTTATAATTACAACTGATTTGAATATATCTTAAGATGTATTCTTATAAAAGAATTCTACCACAATGAGGACCGATGTAGTATATTTTCAAAATCAACCTCCAGAGACAAAAAACAAATTTGCTTTCTAAATTTCACAGCCCTATATAAAATAATATAAACTCTATTTTGATTTCTTGAGATAATACCCTTTTTATGATAATCAAATATTTCTTTCCCAAAAATATCCTACATATCTAAATGATTATAATAACGTCTTAAATATAGGTTCGCCTAAATTAACAAAAAAAAATGTAAACATTAAAATAAACATGATCTTAAGAACTAATGCAAATAAACTATTCCTTGCGATTTGTTATTAACAAATCGAAGGGTAAATGCGAGAAAAAGTTATTGGTATAGTTCACAACAATTGGCAGCCAGGAGGGTCTGGTCGAGAGGACAGCAGACCTGTAAATCGTACGCCACTGGCTGTTGACAATTTCCAAGAGGGCGGCATCTGTAATAACAAATTGTTTAGAAATTAGTAATTGTTTAAGTTGATTAAAAAATATAAAATAAATTTACTCAAAGCCGGTTCGGGCACCAAACCACTGGCATAGATTTTCATGTCACCCAGTGTGGGTTCCACATCAACACTGGTCATTTCCAAAAACGTGTGACCATCACGTTCATAGAGTTTGGCAAGATGTTCCGCATTTGATCTCAGTTCAACTGAAAAGAGAAAGAAGGGAATTTTAAATATCTTTCTGATTTTTTTCACCACTCCCTTACTCAGCGATATATCGAACAGGCCCTTCGAGGAAAACTTTGCATTATTGATCACAACCTCAGCTCGGTATTTCCCCGTCACCTTCAGCAGTGGCAAATGGAATTTCACATCCAACTTAATGTCTTTTCCCTTGCGCTCATAGTGGACTCTCTCGAAGACACCCTTGGAGATGCCGGTCGCTGTTATGTTGCGTATCGCCGCCTTGCCTCGTATCAAATTATTTGAGAATTGTATATTTAATTTATTGATGCGCACCGGATCGATGGGTGGTATATTCAGTTCGGGAACGCCCTTAACACTGCTACGTGTCATGTAATTAAAGGCATCGGTAATACACTTATCGACGCTACTGTCTTCGGGACAGGTGGGAATCGAATCGGCTGGAAGTAAAGAAGAATAGGGAAAAGGTAAACAGGGATTGTTCAGAGTAGTTTCCAAAGCTTTAAACGTGGACAAGAATTTTTCATAGCCTTTTTAGAAATTTTAAAATAAAAAATATTAAATAGTTTGTTTTTACTAGTCCCCTTCAGGCCTTCAAATGTGGATTTTTTTAAAGAATTTTTACTAGTTCCCTTCAGACCTTTAAACGTGGATTTTTAAAGAAGTGTTACTAGTCCTCATCAGACCTTCAAATGTGGAATTTTTTAAAGAATTTTTATTAGTCCTCTTCAGACCTTTAAACGTGGATTTTTTAAAAAAACTTTTAGTAGTCCCCTTCAGGCCTTCAAACGTAAATTTTTTAAAGAATTTTTATTAGTCCCCTTCAAGAAAACGTGAATTCTTGAAGAATTTTTATTAGTCCCCTTCAGGTCTTAAAACATGGATTATTTAAAGAATTTTTCAGCCCTTTTTAATCTTAAAATGTGGATTTTTAAAGAATTGTTCAAGGCCTTAAAACGTGGATTTTTTTAACGAATTTTTCAAAGCTCCGTACAGATCTCAAAACGTGGATTTTTTAAAGATTGTTTCAAAGCCTCTTTCAGGCCTTTAATCGTGGATTTTTTAAAGAATTTTTCAAAGCCCCGTTCAGGCCTCAACGATTTTTTAAAGATTTTTTCAAAGCACTCTTCAGGCTTTAAAACGTGTTTTTTTAAGTTTTTTTCAAAGCCCCCTTCAAGTCTTAAAACGTGGACTTTTTAAAGTTTTTTCAAAGCCCTCTTCAGGCCTTAAAACGTGGATTTTTTAAAGATTTTTTCAAAGCCCTCTTCTGGCCTTAAAACGTGGATTTTTTAAAGATTTTTTCAAAGCCCTCTTCAAGTCTTAAAACGTGTATTTTTTAAAGAATTTTTCAAAGCCTTCTTCAAGTCTTAAAACGTGGATTTTTTTAAAGAATTTTTCAAAGCCTTCTTCAAGTCTTAAAACGTGGATTTTTTAAAGAATTTTTCAAAGCCCTCTTCAAGTCTTAAAACGTGGATTTTTTAAAGAATTTTTCAAAGCCCTCTTCAAGTCTTAAAACGTGGATTTTTTAAAGAATTTTTCAAAGCCCTCTTCAAGTCTTAAGACGTGGAGTTTTTAAAGAATTTTTCAAAGCCCTCTTCAAGTCTTAAAACGTGGATTTTTTAAAGAATTTTTCAAAGTCCTCTTCAAGTCTTAAAACGTGGATTTTTTAAAGATTTTTTCAAAGCCCTCTTCTGGCCTTAAAACGTGGATTTTTTAAAGATTTTTTCAAAGCCCTCTTCAAGTCTTAAAACGTGTATTTTTTAAAGAATTTTTCAAAGCCTTCTTCAAGTCTTAAAACGTGGATTTTTTTAAAGAATTTTTCAAAGCCTTCTTCAAGTCTTAAAACGTGGATTTTTTAAAGATTTTTTCAAAGCCCTCTTCAAGTCTTAAAACGTGTATTTTTTAAAGAATTTTTCAAAGCCCTCTTCAAGTCTTAAAACGTGGATTTTTTAAAGAATTTTTCAAAGCCCTCTTCAAGTCTTAAGACGTGGAGTTTTTAAAGAATTTTTCAAAGCCCTCTTCAAGTCTTAAAACGTGGAATTTTTAAAGAATTTTTCAAAGCCTTATTCAATCCTTAAAACGTGGATTTTTTAAAGAATTTTTCAAAGCCCTCTTTAAGTCTTAAAACGTGGATTTTTTAAAGAATTTTTCAAAGTCCTCTTCAAGTCTTAAAACGTGGATCTTTCAAAGAATTTTTCAAAGCCCTCTTCAAATCTTAAAATATGAATTTTTTAAAGAATTTTACAAAGTCCTCTTCAAGTCTTAAAACGTGGATTTTTTAAAGAATTTTTCAAAGCCCTCTTCAAGTCTTAAAACGTGGATTTTTTAAAGAATTTTTCAAAGCCCTCTTCAAGTCTTAAAACGTGGATTTTTTAAAGAATTTTTCAAATCCCTCTTTAAGTCTTAAAACGTGGATTTTTTAAAGAATTTTTCAAAGCCCTCTTCAAGTCTTAAAACGTGGATTTTTTAAAGAATTTTTCAAAGCCCTCTTCAAGTCTTAAAACGTGGATTTTTTAAAGAATTTTTCAAAGCCCTCTTCAAGTCTTAAAACGTGGATTTTTTAAAGATTTTTTCAAAGCCCTCCTCAAGTCTTAAAACGTGGATTTTTTAAAGAATTTTTCAAAGTCCTCTTCAAGTCTTAAAACGTGGATCTTTCAAAGAATTTTTCAAAGCCCTCTTTAAGTCTTAAAACGTGGATTTTTTAAAGAATTTTTCAAAGCCCTCTTCAAGTCTTAAAACGTGGATTTTTTAAAGAATTTTTCAAAGCTCTCTTCAAGTCTTAAAACGTGGATTTTTTAAAGAATTTTTCAAAGCCCTCTTCAAGTCTTAAAACTTAAATTTTTTAAAGAATTTTTCGTAGTCCCCTTCAGGCCTTGAAACGTGGATTTTTTAAAGAATTTTTTATAGTCCCCTTCAGGCCTTAAAACGTGGATCTTTTAAAGAATTTTTTATAGTCCCCTTCAGGCCTTAAAACGTGGATCTTTTAAAGAATTTTTTATAGTCCCCTTCAGGCCTTAAAACGTGGATCTTTTAAAGAATTTTTCAAAGCCCTTTTCAAGTCTTAAAACGTGGATTTTTTAAAGAATTTTTTATAGTCCCCTTCAGGCCTTAAAACATGGATCTTTTAAAGAATTTTTCATAGTCCCCTTCAGGCCTTAAAACGTGGATTTTTTAAAGAATTTTTCATAGTCCCCTTCAGGCTTTAAAACGTGGATTTTTTAAGATTTTTTCAAAGTCCTCTTCAGGCCTTAAAACGTGGATTTTTTAAAGAATTTTTTATAGTCCCCTTCAGGCCTTAAAACATGGATCTTTTAAAGAATTTTTCATAGTCCCCTTCAGGCCTTAAAACGTGGATTTTTTAAAGAATTTTTCATAGTCCCCTTCAGGCTTTAAAACGTGGATTTTTTAAGATTTTTTCAAAGTCCTCTTCAGGCCTTAAAACGTGGATTTTTTAAAGAATTTTCATTGGCCCGTTAAGGCCTAAAAACGTATTTTTTAAGATTTTTTCAAAGCCCTCTTCAGGCCTTAAAACGTTGATTTTTTAAAGAATTTTTCATTGGCCCGTTAAGGCCTAAAAATGTGTATTTTTTTTTAAAGAATTTTTCAAAGTCCCGTTTTGGCCTCAAAACGTGGATTTTTTTTAAGATTTTTTTGGCACTGAAAAATACCAAAGTGGCGATCACCTTAAGCAAGAGCTTCGCCAGAAATGGGGGCCAAAATACCGCAGAGCAACATTCGGGCAGCTTGTGACGGTTTCATTGGCCGTTTGAAGGGCATAATTTGTGTCAAAGGTGACCAAGTCGAACAAATGTAAACTTATTCTAAAATTTGATGCTATTTCCGACCTTTTTTCTTTCTTTCAACAACATTTTAAAAAAATATAAAAATTATGGCGTTTGATTTTTTGGCAGATTTTTTATGTCACTCTTGAGGCACTCTAATACACACCTGCTTTAAATCTATGATTTTGCTATGTCACAATAGCAACTAATTGTTTCCTACAATTAGTTGTTAACAAACAATAATCGTTATCACAGTGCAAAGACACAAACCCAATAAACGCTCAACAAGTGGATCAACAAACACACAAAGCTGGCGCCTGTTTTTATGGCCGAACGTACTTGTTTCAATGGAACACAAAACGGGTAGATGATATTAATTAAACTAGTTTTAGGCGTGTGAATGCTAATTACGTTGCCGCAAAACTAGTTGAGTGAGCGATACACTGAAAAACCTATAAAAATTAAATCGATTGTAAAACGAAAGACTTAGGACACAAACCTGTTCTAATTAAACGAGAATCAACACAGGCTTAATTATCAATTAACTAGGCAGATGGCTTGAGTAGTTTACACTTTTTTATGATTTGAAGAAACCTCGTAATTATAATAATTATTGGAAATAACAATTAAATGATTTATTGTCCCTTGTGAACAATTATTATAATCATGGAAAAGTAGGCATTTTCAATACACTCACATAATTTTCTCACAAATCTCTGATTCCATGATTCTTCCTCGGAGTTTGTGTAAAGAATATTATTTATCAAAATTAAAAATATTATAAAACAATAATTTGTTTGAAACATTTCCGAAGTACAAGAAAAAAAACCAACAAAAATACTTTAAAACTGTCAAGTCCACAAATCACGTTTTTAAAGATTTATTTGTTTTTTATTCACTTTGCACTGGACAGCTGATCGCTGTACCGTGTTGTCTCAGCTTTTGTGGTTATCTGAAATTGTACAAAGCGAATTGAAACCATTGGACCATTTTTTCGGTTGCCGGTCGCTTATGAATAACTTACAATGCCAATGCAGAAGAAGCTTTTTTACTTCGTGGTCTCCAACTTTGCGAATTTTTATGCAGTTTTAGTTTTGTTTTTTATATTTTGCTATGCATTCATAATAACCGCCAAAGTTGCCTCTCGTTTTTTTTTTGCTTTGAACTTAAACAAATACCAGAATTATAATTTTATGTTAGTCGAAATAAAGGAAACGCTTTGTATTTGAAGAGGGTCAGTGACACACTTTTTGTGGCCATTCAATTTGCCAGTAATTGCAAATAGATTTTGTCGTTAATGTCTAATTTGAAATGTAAAATAATTTTTTTTTTGGCGTATCTCGAATTGATATGAGTCATTGCATCATAAATCAAGCCAAATAAAATAGGTTTTAGATTTCAGAATTTTTTAGAGACATAGAAACCTCTTAAGTTCGCAGTTGAAGGCCTAAAGGGATCTCAGAAGATCTTTAAATAAAAAATAAAATTTGTAAAATTTACGGGACCATGAAAATTTTTGGAAAGGATCGCGCCTTGCAGGTGCCATTAAAAATTCTTTGGAAATCCACGTTTTAAGGCATTATATGTGCCTTAAAAAGTCATAAAATCCACTTTATACGGTTTGAAGAGTACTTTGGCACATTCTTTAAAAATCCACTTCTTAAGGTTTGAGGAGCACTATGAATTCTTTTTTTAAATCCACGTTTAAACATTTACTTAAAAGACCCTAAAAAACCCTTTAAAAATCCACTTCTTAAGGTTTGAGGAGCACTATGAATTCTTTTTTTAAATCCACGTTTAAACATTTACTAAAAAGACCCTACTAGGGCTAAGAAAAATTAGTTCAAAAAATTTTTAAATAATCCATGTTTTATGACCTGAAGGTGACTACGAGCTCTTCTTTAAAACTCCACGTTTTATAGTTAAATCGAGCTATGAAAAATTCTTAAAAAATCCCTTAAGACGTTCTAAAAATTTGAATAGGGTTTTTCAAAATTTCTTAAAAATTTGCGTTTTAAGTCTTGTGGGCTTTGAAAAGTCGTAAGAAAAAATAATAAGGGGGCTTCAAAAATCTTTAAAAAAATTCACGTTTTGAAGAAGGCTTTGAAAAATTCTTAAAAAAAATCCACATTTGAAGGCTTGAAAGGGCCTATGAAAAATTCTTAAAAAAAAACACATTTTGTTGAAAAATTCTTTAAACAATCCACGTTTGAAGACTTGAAGGAGGCTCCGAACAATTCATAAAATATCCACGTTTTGAAAGTTTGAAGAAGAATTTGAAAATTTCTTTAAAAAAATCCACATTTGAATGCTTGAAAGGGAAAATTCTTAAAAAAATCACGTTTTAAGACCTGAAGCCTCCTTCATTCGAAAAAATCTAAAAAATGCATGTTTTAAGATCTGAAAGAGGATTCGAAAAATTCTTAAAATATCCACGTTTTGAAAGTTTGAAGAAGAATTTGAAAATTTCTTTAAAAAAATCCACATTTGAATGCTTGAAAGGGAAAATTCTTAAAAAAATCACGTTTTAAGACCTGAAGGAGGATTCGAAAAAATCTTAAAAAATCCACTTTTTAAGACCTGAAGGATTCGAAAAATTCTTAGAATAACCCACGTTTTAAGACCTGAAAGAGGATTCATGAAATTCTTAAAAAAATTTTAATTTTTTTTAAGACTTGAAGGAGGATTCAAAAAATACTTAAAAAATCCACGTTTTAGGATTCACATTTTAAGGATAGAAGGGGACATTGAAAATTTCTGCAAAAAATCCACGTTTTACAGCCTGAAGGGGGCTATGAGCAATTCTTTAAAAAATCGCAGTTTTAAGTCCTGAGTGGCGCTATGAACAATTCTTTAAAAAATCCACGTTTTAAGGACTGAAGGGGGCTATGAAAAATTCTTTAAAAATCAACGTTTTAAGGCCTCAAAGGGGCTATAGAAAATTCTTAATTAATTCGAATGGACATTTCTTTCAAAAATCTACGTTTGAAAGCTTGAAAGAGGTTATGAAAAATTCTTTCAAAAATCCACGTTTGAAAGCTTGAAAGAAGTTATGAAAAATTCTTTCAAAAATCCACGTTTGAAAGCTTGAAAGAGGTTATGAAAAACCTTTTAAAAATCCACGTCTGATGGCTTGAATAGGGCTATGAAAAATTCTTTAAAAATCCACGTTTGATGGCTTAATAGAGCTATGAAGAATTCTTTAAAAAAAGCCACGTTCTGAAGATTTGAAGAGGGCTTTGAAAAATTCTCTCAAAATCCACGTTTCATGGCTTCATAGAAAAATCTTTAAAAAATCCATGTTTTAATGTCCGAGGGGACTATTCAAGTTTTCCTAAAAAACACATTTTAAGTCTTGAAGGGGGTTTTAGAGATTCTTTGAAAAAAATAACTTTGTATGACTTGAAGAAGGCTTTCAAAAATCCACATTTGAAGGCTCAAAAGAGACTTTCGAAAATTCTTTCACGTTTGAATGCTGAAAAGGGGCTTTGGAAAATTCTTTAAAAAGACAATTTAAAGGGAAAGAAGATATACAGATGTTTGAACACCTACTATGTAGATGTCCCACGACAAGAGACATAGGATATTTGATACTTTCACGAATCCGAGTATTTTTATGCCTTAAAGAAAATTCTCGGAAAAATTCACCTGTCATGGCTTGAAAGTTCTTTAAAAAATTACGCCTTAAGGCTTAAAATATCAGTGAAAATTCCTTTAAAAATCCATTTTAAGGCTTTAAGGGAGCTTTTAAGAATACTTGAAAAAATCTATGACTTTTTGGAATTTTTCTTTAAAAAGTCCATCTAGTCTCGTAGGTTGATGTTTAACATTTGAACCAATTAAAAAAAGCATCTACGGTATTCGGTTTTTAGCGGCACTAATTTCAATTTTTTTCCTAAACATAAATATCGAAATAACATTCACATATCTACATTTTATTTCTTATTCTTGGCGTTTTTTGTCAATATTTTTAATTACTATTTCACTTTTAATTTCAGTTCTCTATAATTAATTCTATAACTGAATTGTCAACTTATATGGTCATCGATGCATGACATTCGTCAATGTCGCAACTATCGGAACATAGATTTTCCAAGGTAAGTTTAACGCACTAGCACTTGACCCACTTTAGAGACTTTCAACAACAACAACAAATACAAAATATTCCCAGTGTCATTCTAAATAAAACATTTTTGCAATAGTTGTCATTTTCACATTCAAAAATTTCAATTTTTTTTTGTTCATATTTATCGAAAAAAAAACAAAAGACTTAAGACACAAGCACTTTTTCATATTTCACTTTTCATTGCATATTTTATGGCGACACATCCGTCTCATAATCCTTACAAATTGTTATAATTTATCTTTCTGCTTTTTTTTTTTTTTTGAATAACTCACGTAATTCAGTTATTAATTGATGTACTGCCGGCGAATCCAATGTTTCCATGCCTTGTGTGGCTATCCACATCCAATAACCGCTGAAACATAAAAATAACACTAAATTTTTATAGGTTCTCAACATGATTCGTTTTTTATTAGTTTATTTTATTATTATTTTTTTCGGTTTATGATTTTTCTGAAGCGTCAGTGCGATTTCGAATCTGTCTTCAAGCACGATTTGTTTAATTCTAACACTGCAAGTGCTGAAACGCTGAGAGAGAAACTTAACTTGGAATTGAAATTAGAAAAAATCCTAACAATTCTATTTCAAGTTGTGACGACCTTGAAGCCGACCAAGTGTTGTGTGCAAGTGGGGTGTTTTTTTTGTTGGCTTTATTTAACACTCGGTACTACAGTAGTCTACATTATTTCCATTTTTTTCCATATTAATGAGTTGGCCGAACGATTTTGGTCAGATCGAACATCATACACCCTTCGCAGTAAGCTGCAAAACTTGAATTGTGGAGAATGGGTTTTTACCTCCTGAAAAAAAAAAAAACATAATTTCAAATTAGGGCCAACTCGAGTTAAATCCAATATCAATTTATGGACCTTTTCGAAACTGTTTTATGAGGAAAATCATTTTATACAATATACAGATATGAAAAATTTAATAAAAAATTATATTTTAAAGCTCGGAGAGTTCTATTAACAATTATTTAAAAAAGTAACGTTTTTAACTCTGATGCGGTCTGTAAAGAATTTACGTTTTTAAACTTAATTAGGGCCAGTGGACCCTATAGTGACATTAAATTTGAAAGGGGATAAAAAATTGCAAATAAAAAATCAACTTTTTTTTGTCCTTAAAGGATCTATAAAAAATTCTCAAAATGACAATAATCGATCAATGTTATAAACATTGAAAGGTTCTGTGAAAAATTTATTAAATTGAAAAATTTGTTCTTAAAAGAGACTACGAAAAAATGTTAAAAATTCTAGGGCTTAAACTTTCAACGAGGCTATAAAAAATCTGAAAAATCTTAAAAAATCCAAGTCATGGACCTTCAAGGAGACTAAAAAAATCTTTAAAAAATCCAAGCCTTAAACTTCCTAGGAAACTATGAAAAAAATATTTAAAAAGACCAGGACTTGGACAATTAAGGAGACTATGAGAAAATGTTGAAAACATTTTGGCCTAAGACCTTCATGAAATTTATGTGAAATCTTTAAAAACAGGCCTCGGTCTTTCTTGGAGCCTAAAACAAATTCGAGTCTTGGACCTTCTGGTTCAAAGAACAAAAGATCTAAAGTTTGGACCTTCAACAAAACTATGAAAAACTTTTAAAAAATCAAGACTTGGACCTTTACCTAGACTGTGAAAGGAATCAAAGTGAAGGATCTTCAAGGAGATTAGGAAAATTAGTCAAAAAAATCCGAGTATTGACTATAAAAAATGCTTGCCTTGCATCTTCTTGGAGACTAAAACAAATCCAAGCCATGGACCTGCAAGGAGACTATGAAAAATCTTAACAAATCCAAGACTTGAATCTTCAGTCCTTGGACCCCCAACGAGACTAATAGAAAATCTAAAGAAAAACAACCTTGGATCTTAAAAGAGTCTGAAAAAATCCAAGCCTTGGACCTTTACAGAGACTATGAAACATATTCAAAAACAAAACTTCGACTTTCAAGGGGACTTTAAAAAAAAATTAAAAAATAAGAAAAAAAAACTCATTGGACTTTCTAGGGGACAAAAACAACAAGACTTGGAACTTAAAAGAGACTGTTCAAAAAACTTTAAAACCAATCAAAGATATGGACCTTCATAGAAACTGTGAAAACATTTAAAAAAAAATGGGCACTCAGGGAGACTATGACAATTTTTTAAAAAAATCTTAGCTTGAACCTTTTAGGAGACTAAAAATCGGTCTTGACATTAAAACGACACTATGAAAACAAAAAAAAAAAAAAACACACACACACACCGAAAACATCCTAAAACATATCATTAAGCCTTAAAAGGCAGTTCTACATTTTTTAACATTTTTCAAACGCCATCTATACATGAATAGGCGTTGAATTTCTAAATATTTTTCAAACGCCATTTTTACTTCAAGGTGCGTGGATTTTTTAAAAAAAAAATTCAAAGGCCATCAGTACTTCAATAGGCGTGGAGATTTTTTAAACATATTTCATACGCCATCTATACTTCGATAGGCGTAGATTTTTTTTAGATTTTTTTTAAACATTTTTCAAACGCCGCCTGTACTTCAATGAGCGTGAATTTTTTAAAGAAAATTCAAAGGCCATCAGTACTTCAATAGGCGTGAATTTTTTATATATTTTTAAACGTGGATTTTTTAAACATTTTTCAAACGCCACCTGTACTTCAATAGGCGTGGATTTTTTAAACATTTTTCAAACGCCACCTGTACTTCAATAGGCGTGGATTTTTTAAACATTTTTCAAACGCCACCTGTACTTCAATAGGCGTGGATTTTTTAAACATTTTTCAAACGCCACCTGTACTTCAATAGGCGTGGATTTTTTAAACATTTTTCAAAGGCCACCTGTACTTCAATAGGCGTGGATTTTTTAAACATTTTTCAAAGGCCACCTGTACTTCAATAGGCGTGGATTTTTTAAACATTTTTCAAACGCCACCTGTACTTCAATAGGCGTGGATTTTTTAAACATTTTTCAAACGCCACCTGTACTATTTTTATTATTATATTTATTATTATATTTTTGGATTTTTTTAAATATTTTTTAACATTTTTCAAAGGCCATCTGTATGTCAATATACGTGGATTTCCTAAACATTTTTCGAAGGCCTTCTGTAATTTAATAGGCGAAGATTTTTTAAATATTTTTCAAACGCCATCTGCACTTCAATAGGTGTGGGTTTTTTAAACATTTTTGAAAGGTCATCTAAAGCTCTCAAGGCGTGGATTTTTAAACATTTTTTAAACGCCATCTGTACTTCAACAGACGTGGGTTTTTAAACATTTTTGAAACGCCATCTGTACTTCAACAGACGTGGATTTTTAAATATTTTTCAAACGTCATCTGCACTTCAACAGGAGAGGATTTTTTAAATATTTTTCAAACGCCATCGTACTTTAATAGCCGTCCATTTTCTTTTATAATTTTTTCTAATGCTATCTGTGCTTCAATAGGCGTGGATTTTCTTTTATAAATGTTTTCAACCGCCATCTGTACTTCAATAGGCGTGGATTTTCTTTTATAAAATTTTCAAACGCCATCTGTTCTTCAATGAGTGTGGATTTTTTAAACATTAGACCAGGAAATCAGGAAAATGTAAGTCTTCTTGGAAAGAAATGACTTTTATATAGGATTACACCAAAATTTAAAATTTAGCAAATTCTAGCGGAAAATTTGTAAAATATGATCCTCAACAAAATGAAGTTGAGAACTCAAGACCCTATTGGGACTAAGTTAATACCAACAATACCAATTCTACACGCCTCAAAGGATATATATACTTTTTGGGGTCTAAAGTGTATATTACGAGTTGTTACAAACGGATATGATTCTCTATTTAAAAACTAAGTGGTATTTCTCCTTAGAAATATTTTGACACATAACGAAATTAATTTTTTGTACACTAGTGTTATGTTGAGTATGCATGTTGTTTTATTCATTAAGAAACGTACCCAAATCGATTACCTGACTGAGAGACTGACAGTTGCGCATGCTTTTAATGACAAACAATTGTCGCCAATATTTCAAGTCATATTGGTTATTTTTAAACTCTTCTCAACTCTCTACACAGGAAGGGGAGGGCAAATTGAATTCGTCAAACGACATGTTCTACCACGAAATAATTTGATTCTTACTCCTAACGATTACAAAAATTGACATAGAAAAAATATTCCTTATCATTTTCGTATTCATGTCATATTCCACATTAAATTTATTAACTTATATCTGAAGAAGACACCAAGAACATTTGTTGAAGCATGGTATCATCAATATGTTGTCTTGTAGAACAGCAGCTTAAATATTACATCAATAATCTCAACAGCATGTTTAAAATTTAAAAAAAATCTCGCATTGAAAGGAGTCTATCTCCAAAAAATAGTATGGAGAGTAGAGTAGAGGAATGGTCCATAAAAGAAAATCAGTATTTGAAAATATCGTTCAAAATGTGTTAGAACTTTTTTTGAGGCCCTCTTAATTCGCAATAATCCAAAAAGGCCAAGACAGAACCTAAAATATATATTCTATTATTTCAAATTATCTATATACTCATCAACTATTTTCGATTCTGAGGACATATTTCCTCATCCCTCGTCAGTCCATTTTCAATATTTTTGTAAGTTTTCGATTTTTTCTTCATTGTAGAGGATACAAAAAGTTCGATATGACAAGCGAGTTTTAGCCAGCCAGTTTTACTCACTAAATGTTGATATATTCTTGAATTATTTACTTAACTGTCAAATGAGAATCATTTAACCTGCGAATGGAAAACAATTAGAATATCTAATAACTTTAGAGTCATTATTTTTTTATATTATTTAAAATTAAATCCGTTAAAAATTCTGTTAAAATCCTTAAAATACCGAATGTAGCCGTATATTAGGGTCTATACGACGACATGGACCTGCATAGACAACCGTTGTTATAAGCTATTATATTATTCAAATGCTAAACTTGAAAAAAAAATCTGTTGATAATGTAGGTAAAATAAATAACATACCGAGTATTAGGAGGTACCATGGGGGTTATAAAACGTGGACCTGCACAGACAATTTTCTGGCATAGGCTGTAGTATAAATTACGAACTTCAAATACAAATGTTGAAATAATCCAGGTAAATAATGCCGCTTAAATCATCAAAATACCGAATATCGGGGGTACCGTTATATGGGCGCTATACGAAGACGTGAACCTGCACGGACAATCTCCTGTCATATGCTGTAGTATCCATTAGGAACTTCAAATACCAAATTTAAAACAATTCCCGCAAATAATGTCGCTAAAATTATTAAAATACGGAATATCGGAAGGTATTGTTATGTGGGGGCTATACGAAGACGTGGACCTACATGGCTCGTTTTCTGTCTTAGGATGTGGTATCCATTACAAACTTCAAATACCAAATTTCAAACAATTCCGGTAAATAATGTCGCTAAAATCATCAAAATACCGCATATCGGGAGGTACCGTTTTATGGGGGCCATATGAAGACGTGGACGTACATAGCCCATTTTCAATACCA